GGAGTTGTTAGGGAAATTGGGAACCGGAGGGAGTAGAGACGCAATGAGTTGCAGTTGCTGCTGCAAACGGTGGTTGGTTTGCACTCAAGGAAGGAAAGGATCGGAAACCGCGTCAGCACTCCAGCGCTTGGGCCTGCAGCCCCGTCCCGGCGGGGGCGGTCCCTGGGGCTTGTCTTCAGGATGCACGGGTCCAGTTTCCTTTGTAGCACCAGGCCGCTAGCATTCCTGATTACCTGTCCCAGGCAGTGAGGATCTGCTAGGGTACCGAGTCATTGGAATGAGGTGCGAGACTGATAAGAAATGAGAAAGGTTCGGGAAACCCACAAGTTATCTTCCCGGTTCCCAAATGATTGCTAACTTTGAATAGATATTAACAGTGCGTCAGAGTAACCAAACCTAAAGAAATGGAATGACTTAGAGACCCTCCACCCCCACCCTCACCCCCGGGTCTCCAGAAGCCGGGGACTGAATTTTCAGAAATTTTTTGTCAACCATAGAGAATCAAAAAGGAATTTGATTTGTTAAATTTTTATGCAACGCGAATATTGTACTATAATGAGAATGCCTACTCTTACGCTCTTTTTTAAACACCTATTTTTATTGATTTCAGAGACGGAGAGGGAGAGAGAAACATCAATGATGAGAGATGATTATTGGTTGGCTGCCTCCTGCACACCCCCCCACGGGGGACTGAGCCCCTAACCCATGCATTCCTTGACTGGAATCTAACCCTAGATGGACCCTTCAGTCCGCAGGCCAGCACTCTATCCACGGAGCCAAACCCGCTAGGGCAAAATGCCTACTTTTAATCACCACATTTGTAAATGGGCTTTTCTCTGAAAAATACCTTTTAATGTTAATGAAATTACAAAACCCCAAACCTGCTCTTTCCCACTGTGGGGCTGGTAGGTAATAGCAGCTCCACAACTCTTGGTGAAACTGAAGGCAGAGGTATCTAGTAGTAAATGTTTCTGTTAGTGGTTCTGTCTTTACACACGGTAGTGGTCCAGGAGCTGCTGGAGAGGCAGGTATCTTGTATTGCCAAACAAAAAGAAAGCTGCACATTAATGTTGAATATTAAAGAAGCTGTTGCCATATTGTGAAAAGCATTCTATTATTACTTGTTAAAATTCGTAATTGCAATAATGCATGTATGTGGGTCCATCGATAATCCCACAGTAGTTGCCCTTTACCCAGCAAGAGTCTGCGTGGTCGTAGGCTCTGGCCAGGTAGCTCAGTTGGTTAGAGCATCAACCCAATATGCCAAGGTTGACAGTTCAATCCCTACTGAAGGCACATATAAGAACCAACTAATGAATATGAATAATTAAGTGTAACAACAAATCTCTTTCTCTCCTTTCCCCCCTCTAAAATAAATTTTAAAAAGCAATGAGGGAATGTAATTCCACAACATTTCTTAGAAATCATCTGAGTTTTATCTCTACCACTACCTCTACCACCTCCCTTAACCAGAATCAAACCTGGGACCCTTCAGTCCACAGGCCAACACTATCCACTGAGCCAAACCTGCCAGGGCTCTTTAGAAGGAAGATAAAAACAACCTCAAAAAGAATGATGTATATAACGGAATAATTTCCAAAGCATTCACAGATGCCATTTATGTTGCAAGTCTTCCTTCCTGAATTGTTTTCAATTGAGTGGTGATTTTAAAGCAAATAGGTGAACCTGGTGAAAGGGAGAAAGAGAGTGAGGAGGGAGTGTGGGAAAGAGAGGCTTTGTAATGACTTCCATGTGAGGACAGCCTGGGACCCCTTTCTCCAACCTCATCTCCTCCCATCCTTTCTGTCACTTTATGGTTGGAACACATCAGAAAAACCCAACTTGTACACTATTTCAAGCCTCTGGGGTCTTACTTGGATTGTTCTGTGTCCATGTAGAGTTCTTTTTCCCTCCTTTTGGTAGAAATTCAAACCTCTCTGCCTTTCTCCTTTCCTTCTTCTAGGGATAAAGAAGAGAGGAGAAGAGCCCTGACTGGTTTGGCTCAGTGGATAGGGCATCGGCCTGCGAACTGAAGGGTCCCAGGTTTGATTCTGGTCAAGGGCATGTACTCTAGGGTCACAACCCACAGGTTGAGAACCGCTGGCTGAGTATTTAGGACAGTGATCGGCAAACTGCGGCCCCTTGAGTGTGGCTCTTCCACAAAATACCGACTTCTGCGCATGGGCCACGAAGTTTCAATTGCACTGTACGTGCACGCCTGCACGTGGCATTTTGTGGAAGAGCCACACTGAAGGTGCCAAAGAGCCGCATGTGGCTCACGAGCCGCAGTTTGCCGACCACGGGTCTTCACCATTAACTTCCCCACCAGGGTTGATCCCCTAGTGCCCACAGTTGCCTGAAGTGATAACCTACTCATTCATGCATTCTTAAATGGTTTCTTTCCTTTCCTGCCTCATTTCCCTTCTCTTCTACCAGTGCTTCCTGGGATCACCTTTAAAATAAACCACTTCACTCAAGTATTTGTGTCTGGGCTGCTCCTTGAGAAACCAACATCAGGCAATCGGCAAGGGCTTTTATTCCTGCTCTGGCATCACTGGCACAGTGGTCTCAGAAGAGTGAACAGTCCCTGATTTATATCAAGGTGCCATCGTGAGGAATTCAGCGCTATTCCTTAAGGTGGCTGTACCTTCTTATTTCATTTCCTATTAACCCTGGAGTCTTAGTGAAAAAGATGACAGAGAGAATTATCAACTTTCCCATAGAAGTGTATGAAGGAGAGACCTCAAATTGGAATGTCAATTGCGCTTTTATTTAGAAGTCATATACAATTCCGTTACATAAGACTTGAGTTGACTAGTCTGTTGACCTAACTATTGTTAATTATCTTGTTTCTGTGGGGAGAATGTGTTACATAATACACATCTCCACCTGGCTGACCTTAGCATCCTGCTTTGAAGCACTCTTCCAAGTTATTTCACACCTATTATCTCCTATATCTCCCAGAACAATTCATGGAATGCAGTAGGTACACAGCCACAAAGTGCACTGCTGTCTGCTAAATACAGTCATTTCAGCAAGAGCAGAGCTCAAGCCTGGCTTTGTAACAACACCGATCATTTCACTCGGAGTTTTACTTTGTTCACTATAGTTTGTAAAAAATCAAGGCAGCAATTATCTTTACAGTTACAAAACCAACAAATCTCATTGGAATGTTTTTGGGGCAGTGGAAAATAATTTTCAGTATATACTTTAAGAGGAGAAGAATTCATAATCTTTCCACCTAGGGATAATCTCATTTTTTCACAAACCGTTTTTTACATAACTAGAATTATATCATACAGAATATATTTTAGTCTGCTTTCCCCCCCCACTTAACAATAGATCAATAACATGTGTTTAACTCATTAACTATTAAACTCATTGACTCTACAGCCAAATTAACCTCATATTCCAAACTCTGTTAAGCAACCACGTAACCTTGGGCAAATTACTTAGCTCTCTGTGCCCTGGTTTCCTTATCTACAGAGGGGTCCTGGGAGTAATAATGCACATTTGTTAGGGTTGTTGAGAGGATGAAGGAAATGTCAGTATATGCAAAGCTTTTAGAACAATACCTAGCACAGTTAACATTTTAAAATACTTAATTACCATTATTCTGCATACAATGAAGCTTTCATTACCATATAACATTTCAATGTAAGAATGTATCACAATTATTTAATTATAGTCTTTTCTTAGAAGTACAGCTTTGGTGGTGAGCAGAATAATGGCCCCTCAACTATGGCTACACCAAATCCCAGGGACCTGTGCATATGCACCTCATATGGCAAAAGAGACTTTGTGTGATTAAAACGCTGAGTTGGGGAGAGGAGCCTGGGTTATCTAGGTGGTCCCGATCTAATTGCTTGAGTGGTTAAAAAGATAACCTTTTCCAATGTAGGGGTTTGGGGAAGAGGATCATGGGAGAAGTGGAAGAAAGCCCAGGAAGATGCCAAGTGAAAAG